TATATATTTTATATATATATATATATATATATATATATATATATATATATATATATTATCATGTATACGTACATATTTATTTATATTTTTCATTTATTTATATCGTTTGTGTAATACTATCGACGGTATTACATCCCCCCCCCCCTGGGAAACGTTGGATTTTCACACAGCACTGGTAAAGTTCGTAACCCAAACTAGGCTTACCTCAGAACGTTTATAACCAATAAATAGACATCGACAACTAATTACAAACGCTCTCGATCGAGGCGACGACGTCGGGACGCCCCCGATTCATGTGTCGTGATTCATGTGTACGTATTGTGTACTTTCGTTGAATTTTATTTTCGAGCACGAAGTTGACGGATTCGAAAGGACTGTGCACGCGGAACGTTCACCTATCGGGCGCAATAAATACAACGCTTTCTATGCATTCGACTAACTCATCATCCGCTATGGTACATCCGCCATTTTGTCCGCGTGCCCTCCAGTTTGTCCTTCGAGTTCGATTCAGGGAGACGATGGTCGTTCGAGATACGATATCTTCGAAACATTCTTATCGGATCACAATCAATCAACAACCAAAGATCAATAAAAATACAGCCCGTCCCCAATGTATCGTCAACGATCTCCGCAACGTTGTCAGAAATTTTACACAAGGAGCCACGAACGTCTACTTACACGCTAGAACGAATGTACAGATCTTGCTCGAGCAACTGGGAGATAAAACAGTCAGTTAGAAGGACAATGGGAGTCCCCATCCACATTTGCATATATCATCTTGTGCCAACCTGCTGGCAGACTCTGTCTTCAATAGACGGAAAGGCGCGTCAATATAGTATACAAAAGTTGGATACTCGAGGGGATGATGAATAGGGAAATTGATCTTGAACAGTCAACTGATCATGATTCGATTGTTTCATTCTCAATCAACGATTTTTGTTCGGCTGGTTATCAATAACTCAGTAAGCCAGAGTAACAAGTCTCCTTCATCCTTGAAGAGACTCTGCTACCAGGGTAGTTAAACGGACACGATCGTATCTATTAAAATGGTTAAAACAGTGACAGTTGCAACAAGTGACAAGAAAATCAGTGAAAAAAGGTACTTGCTAGGATACTACCCTATTTCATCGAAGATCCCTTCCACGATTCCCGATCAACCAACGTTCTCCAAAACGAGACCCAAAGACTGCTTCGTACGCTTCGCGACAAATAAATTATTCACAGTGTCAGGAAACCAAGAGAACTCGTTCTCTGGGCCCCTCGTGCCTCGCAAGTTCCCGGATCGTGTCCTGAAAACGCTTCGATTTCCATTTCACGAGTCCCCCATGATGTATCGTTCGAACATTCTGGCCCGGTAACCAGAATTCGGGGATCACGCGCAGTCCAGGGACGCCAAGGACGCGGGACTGTGTGGCCCGCCGAGCATGAACGGCGGGCTCATCGGTGGACCACCGCTTCCGGTGCTGTTCCCATAGAGCTCGAGGTCGCCGAGGGAACCACCGTCCACGCCGCTGTCGCACTTGTCCGACTTGCCCTCCTGCTTCAGCACCATGCGCCGCCATTTTGCGCGCGCGTTCTGGAACCAGACCTGCGAACAAAGATTCGATCGGTGAGCGAAGGTGTCTTTTGATAGGAAAGAATTGAACATATTCATTTACAAAAGACACTTTTTGTGAGGATGAAAGCACCAATAAGCACTGCTCCGTTTACTAGGGTCAGAAAATAAATAAGATGGCTTAAAAGAAATTGGTCAAAGGACCAGAGGAAAGGGTAAAGAGACCATGTCACTGGAAGAGATCTCATTATTCCATAATAGGTCCATATAACTTAACCATCATATTACTGCATAAAATGTCATGTATTCTGATTTTTAATTAAATAAACTCCGTTCCACGAGAGAGGACTCATCTGCGGACCAGATTTCGTAGACTTTGCGCAGGTGATTCCTGCTTTCAGTGGTCAACCGCTCTGTCTCTGCTGTACACGCCCCTACCCACGTACCCCCTACAAGGCTCTTGATGGTAGCTCTACATACGAGTAATAGGTCTCTCGAGGACCTAGGAGCAAGGCAGAACCTTGTTTGGCACTTGACCTATTCACCAGTCGCTGTGGAAAACACAATAGGGACAAGCTGTGCGGAAAAGGTCTCTTCTATCGTGGAACGGAGTACATACGTCCAAAGGTGGTCTAAATATGGGCTAGCACCTTTACTTCAGGACTTATCGTCAAACCTGTTAAACATATTAACGATGTATCACTTATTTAAAATCAGTTTCTATCGTTTCCTGAAACATAGTTTCGCACTATACCCTCTAGGATGAAGCACCTAACATCATCCTATACTTCAACTAGCCCCTATTTAGATCCTGTATTTGGACCATCTGCAATAAAACCTATCACACATTTTTCCCCAAAAACGAAAATCCATCCAGAACAGCATTGTCACTATATCCGACGCCCAAATAGAACCGCGGCAAGAAGAGACAAAAAGGTAAAGGGACACTCCTCGGTCCACGGACCAAAAAGCTCCCCGTGGTTGTTATATATCTTCATCGAGGTGGGGGGGGGGGTTTACACGGGGGAGTAATTTAAATGCAGCAGCACGCGCTCACCGGGGCACGTCAGCCTGGCCCTGACTAGGGATAGCTACATCGTCCATACAATGCAACAATATATAATGCGACGACACACACTCGAGCCTCTCTCTTTCTCTCTCTTTCTCCACCCCCTGTCTGTCCCCGATAGATAAAAGACGGCCTCGATGCACGGGGGAGATCCGCCGTCGCCATTTTCAAGATAGTCTCCTCCCCCGCGGACTGAAAACCCAGAAGGAGAGACTTCCAGCCGCCGCGACAGAGAACCGTCGGCCTCCCCTTCGTGGTCGAGGCGCACGAGTGTTTCCCTCTGCTGTACATAGGTAGGCACGCGTATATACACAGGTGTGTTGCGTGTATGCGTTACGTGTACATACACAAACACATACGTCTACTACTACGTGGAACGCACCCACGGAAACGGTAGGAGAACGGCGACGGAACGCAGCCGCGGCGAATGAGCGAGTATTCGTGCGTTTCGCGATCAATATCAAGCAAGATGGCGACCAAGAACCCTACGCCGCACCGAATACAATAGGCCGTGGCTCTGTCTCTCTCATTCTCCCTTCCTCTCTTTCTCTCTCTATCCGCCTCCCCTGAGCGAACCGACGAGATAGGTATATCTTCTTTGGCTGCTGCTGCTGCTGCCGCCGGCGCCATCGAGTCACCGCGAGTCGTCTGCGTGGATCCCCCGGAGTCTGCCCACGGGGACAAGTGCCAAGGATTTCGAGGATTTTAGCCCCTCTCTGTCCCGTGAGTCTTTTGTAGATACGGTTTTGTCCTGGACGACGAGGATACGCGCTTGCCTCTTGGAGGGGGTGGCGGGTGAAACGGCGCGAGGATGTGAAATTTTTGATGCATGGAGGAGAGGGATGTTTGAAAGGGAGTATAGCGAATGTGTCGAGAATATTTCGTGATAGAGGGGCTGCACGGCCATTGTGTTGTTTTAGCGGCTGGGTGAGGACTTGCTTCCTTATTTCTGATGGTTCGGGAATGTTTCTGAAGGTGCAGATGTTTGAGGATTTCATGGCCTGGTATCGTACAGTTTGTATTGTTGAGGCCTTTAGGAATTATTCTGTTACCCTAAAGTCCTCAGTCCTTATGTATTGTGGACAACCCTTTAACGCCCAGTATTGCATCGGTACAAAATTAATTTTAAAAGTGCGGTAAATTCTGTCGCTGGTTAATAAGTTTTTTCCAGTTGAGAAATTCAAGTATTCCTTCCAAAAATATTGAAAACAAACAGGTCTGTTTAATATCGATATTTTCGGCTTCAAAATAACAAGATGCAACATATATAACAGTTTCATAATTTTGAAATAACGATTCAAGGGTCTGGCCATTAAAAGGTTAAAATAAAAACGAACCTCTTTTATCTAGGCAATATAACCTATCCTTTCCTGGAGAAACATTATTTCCCAGCCCGATTTCAGACATGGCATACTTGCTTCGTTTGCACTTTAACCAGAATACATGAAAATTGAAAATTTTAGGATGGTTTCACAGTTATACCACGCAGTGTAAAAACCTTCTGATACGCCACTGTGCCATAAACAACACACACACACACCAATATTTATCCAATACATACGCAATTTCACGTCTTTCATCAGAACCATAAAACGGTAAAATGGCACCCCGCGCACGTAATTCCTCCTTTTAAAAACCGTTCCACAAAAAACCACAAGACCCCGGTCACGAAGAAAACGCCCACCTCGAACCAGAACACGATATTAATTCCCCATAAAAAACAAAGAAAGGCGACCAAATAGTAAGGACCCACCGGAAACGATTTCGCGTAATGGCGGTGTAGGCCCGGCAAGCCCAGAAGCTCCGACCGCTAATTCGGACCCGGTAGAAACCGATGATTTCGGGATCCTGTAGGCGGTGATAATCGTCGATCCGCGATCGATCCCGTCGGTCCTTTCCCTGGAGGCCTGGATTAAAGGCGCGGGAGGGCCAGGAAATAGATTTTCGCCTATATAATTTAACGGTAGCGGGTTAACGAGGCCGACGGCGGTGTGCTCGTTACGACAAAAGTTCGCAGCGTTCGCGCGCGCTCGCGCACGTTCGCGGGGATTTTGAGTAGCGGCGGATTGACGGAGGGCCATAATTACGGGGAAAAGGCCACAGAGAGGCGCTCGTCGACGGAAATATCACGCGGCGGCGGCCCATGCGGTTCTTTTACCTCGACGCGTTCGCCGCCGCCGGCAGCACGCACTAATTGGGAGAAGCGTGTGTGCACGGTGTTACGTCTCCGAAAACGCGCGCGCACGCGGTTCGACCGCACGTGAATATTTTTATGGGTGCCTGGCGAGAGGAAAGAAAAAAAAAACAAAAGAAAAACGATCGAACCACCGGCTATCCATCTTCCAGCCGCGATTTTTCTCCCAAACTTTTTCTACCAACCCTACCCCCAACCATGGGAAGCTACAGCCTCCCCCCTCCCCCGCCCTTTTGCTTCTGAAATAGTCTTTTTCTCGAGAGAACGATGGATATCTGACAGAGGGAGGGAGACTATCTTCTCGTGACTTTCTACCAGCGCGTGACTCGTTTTATTTTCGTAACAGAGGGAAATCTTGGTAAAAGGGGAATCGAGAAATTGACGGGGAGTCCCTGTTGCGTGCATTAACGAGACTTTTCTGTGATTTCTCACGATGGTTTTGTTGCGGGTTCGAGGAGTGTGCAGTAATTTGAGGTAACTTTCAAATGGGGTAACTTTGTCTCAAGATAGAAGGTGATCGTTTTCGATTCTGCAGCTTTGTAAAGGGATAACATTTTAATATCCCGTGCTAGGTGTACGTCACATCGAAAAAATCGTATTTCCAGGGGTTTTGCCGTGAAAATACAGGTGAGGGACACGTATTGGGACCATTTTTAAGATAACTAATCGCAGGGATATAATTTTTTCCAACACAAAATGGCCCCCGGAGTTCGTCCTCAAACAAGCACCAGAATGGGTAGATAAGAATTTTCCGTTGCCTTTTTGCGCTCCGAACAATCTCCTTCTATCTTTAACCTCCCACCAAGCCGCAGAAATAAACGTAACCGCGGCGCTCGCGCATAAATTCCAACGACACCGACCAGAATCGAACAACACGAGGAGAGAAAGGGAGCCGTCCAACGATACAATCTGTCCGAAACGCGACGTGTCCCGAAAGGTCCCCGACGCATGGATACTTTTAGCGCCTATGAAGGGCGTCATGCGTCATTGACGCCGCAGCACTAATTGGGGGACGGTCGCCTGCGCGCGAATTTATTTATTTTTCCCGCGAACCGACCCCGGTAAATTTCGTTTTAATTACGCCGTTCCCGACGATTCCTCGAGTGACGTTTCGCGAACATCACTGAGCGGCTCTGGCTTGAATGGCTTTCCTTCAAAAGCAAATTCGGAGCGTAGAAACGTTTTAGAGAAGAATATCAATGGCCAAAGATCTCTTGACGTGTCATTCCGATGGACGCGAATAGGAAATTAATTAGGGCAAACTATGTATGAAAATACAGTGGGGTAAAACTAGATTGACGAAACGTCTCACTATTGTTTAACGTACATAAATAAGGGTACGTCGCTGCACATGTTGATATTTACCTCTGTCGTTTAGAAAGTCTACTGAAGTATAAGTGTCATTATTAACCCTCAGAAACCACACTCACTTCAGTACACGTAAATACCACACCAGTGTCAATTGGGATTTTGAATTTTCGATCTCTAAGAACTTGAAAAGAATAAAAGGAAATGGGACTTATAACAGATTACTTAGGATGAAATTTCCTCAGAAATTCACTGGTAATAAATGTAAAAGTGAGAAATAATTTTAACTACGAGAACTTGTTACAAGGAAATGGTTAATTTCAAACGATGTTTCGCTGATGCAAATTTGTACCAGTGAGGTTTCTTAAAAAAAGATACTAAAATTATTATTATCGGTAAAACAGTTGCGAGGCACTTGGTCAACCGGTGCGTATTACCTAGTTGTACCCTACGTAATCATTAATGGAACTAATTTCTGACGTTTCGTGTCTCAAGGGTGGAACAGCTTGTAGGTTCTCGCAACACGAGTAAATTCTTTGAAAATAGCCATGTTGAATCGCCCCCTCATCATTGTAGCATCCGTACAAAAAGGGAATACTATAACGAAGTGTCGTATTTGTTCCCTCGACAATTACACCGAACGATCTTCGAGAAAAAACAGTTGCAGTTCTCGAAGAATAAGTATGAAGAAGCAGGAGGGAGTAAAATGCTCTGTCCAGCAAAGATTCCTCGCGTTAAAGGGGAAGGGATTTATATCGAGATTCCTGAAACGCTCTCCGCCGACATGTCTCGCGAAAACAAATTGGATCAAGAGCAAACGATACCACGATCGCTTCCACATACACTGGGAAAGGCGAGGGGAACATTGACAGGAGAGGTTCACCGATCGAAAAGGAGATTGTCAATTTACTCGGGGCATCGGTGGCTACGGGACTAACGATAAGAGAATCCACGTCGATTGCTTACCTGCAGCACCCTTTTTGGCAAGCCAGTTTTCTGGGAAAGTTGCTTGAGATCCTTCGCGTCCGGATTGTGATTGATCGCGAAGTAACTCTTCATCGTCCTTAACTGGTGATGCTTGAAACTCGTTCTCATTCGTTTTGTTCTGCTGTTGGAACCAGGCATACCGGGAGTCGCGGGTCCCCCTCGGCCGAAGGGCATATCTATGTAGTCCGCGTTTAAATCTGCAACATAAATCCCAACATCCGGATTATGCGTCTTAATTAAAACACCGGTGTCGCGAGACAGAGAAAGAGGGAGAGGTATTTTTGAAGCAAGCCCGTATCGGGTGTATCAGCACGGGGGGATCTTTTCCGGCGCGTACGATCCGCCACGAAAGGGTTGGACCAGTTAGATTTATGTATCTACGGGCATGTACGTCTTTCCGGTACCGGGTGACGTCAATATCGGGGAAATATCGTTACAATGTCCATTGTTTCTAGCCGACTTAAATGGGACTTCTTAGGGAGTATGATGACGTTGCACTTTAGACAATTGGACACCTTGTTAATCCTTGTATTCGGTCTAAGTAAACGTATCGTTAGTATTCATTGTGTTACATTAGGGTAACTTACGTTAAGTTGGGTCAATGTATACATTTTTTGAAAATCTTTTGAACTGGAAGTTGGAATGTATTTACTAATTAGAATATTTTACTAATAAGAAGACTAGTATATCGTTCAACTTCTGGCTCATTACACGTTTTCATCTGCACAGAGACAAATTCCTGTGGTCCTCGCTGGGTGTCGATAAATCCACCACCACGATTCGAAATTGTCTACACCACCATATTAGGTTAACTTAAATAAGATTAGGTCAATCTAAACTTCAGAAGACGTAAACATTTCTCGAAAATCATTCAAGCTAAAAATTGGTCCGTACGAATTAACGATGAAGACTAATCTATAAAAGAATAAAATTAAGGTAGAAGTCTTCTATAGAAAAATAATAGAAGGCAGAAGTCATCTGTATCATCCAACTTTTGGTTGTCCAATCCCCTAAATCCATCTCATTACGCGTTCTCATCAGCACTAAGACAATCTCCTCTAGTCTTCTCTACCTTCCCAAAAAATCCACCGTCACGACCCAAAATCGCCGATATAACCGCGACAAATACGCATCCCTGTCGGTGAATAAAGCTCGTCGAAGGGCAACAATTGTCGGCTCAACCAGCCAACGCAAAGAACCGTCGGAAGCGGCCTGAACGCTGCTTGGCCGCGACTCTAGCGGTGTTTGATGTGTATCACAGCTCATTAGCTCCTCGAGTGCAAACAAGAAGGGTGATAGCGTATGCGAAAGACCGGTGGATACACACGGCCAATTACAACTCTATGCAGCAAATAGTTTGTAGGCACGATACCTCATTCCAGCTTACGTATGTATATACCCTATCTTGTCCCCGCGACTCTCGCTTGTCCACGGGACGATAAAAACGGCGCGGCTTGACAGTCGTTTGAACGATCGCAGAATACCAGGAGCCGATGAATCGAGCTGGGTCGATAAGATCGTGGGGGGATCGGTACGATATCGTGTCCAGATCTACGGAAGTAGCACAAAGATACTGGATTAAACGAACTTCTTGAAAGAAATTCGGTCTAGCTAACTCGACGACCAGAATTGAACCGTGACTCCAATGGATTTCGATTTAATCAAGCAAACATTTTTGTATGTTCATTTGTTTTTTCAGGAACTTTAATGCATCGAGTTCCCACATAAAAGGAAACGGTTTCGGAACGATAAGTACGGTCCCGGCGATTCTCGGTATCTAATGACAGCCGTTTTTATACCGCTATCATTTTCCCACCAAATTGAAACGTCTACCGAGGAACTTTACACGCACCCAACCCCCCTAATCTCGCGATTTCCAATAAAAGCCCCGCGACACACGTCTCATTCACGAGCCCGTAGAGGTCCAGCCACGGACGACCAGAAGAAAAAAAGAATCGACCAACGAGCAAAAAAGCGAAAGATGATAAAACGTTGATGTTCCCGAGAGGTCCGGATGACCTTGCCAGAAAAAAGGCCCGATCGACGAAGGTCCCCCCCTCCCCAACAACTCCCTACCAAATTATTATATTTCCGACGATAAATTCTCGCGCCTCATCGGGCCTGGCCGTGGCCAAAATAGAGGACTCCCCCAGTGATCCCGTGGTAGGAGGAGAAGGTGTATCATCCTCCGTTGAAGCATCGTTTTTTACGTCCATATAAAAATCAAGGAAAAAGGACACGTCGTCGGAAGAAGACCGGTCAGCTCCACGTCGAGAGGCTCTCGCCGTGTGTCCGTGGATCGAAGACGAGTCGACCGTTGTTCCCACGGTCGGTCAACAATCGAAATTAAGTCCTCGAAAGTAGGAGCCCACGCGCGACACGTACACGCTTTGTTGGGATTGGATTCGGTGAATTTATGTCGCGGCGACAAATTTTATCAGGGTTCGGTGGCAAACACCGCACGCCCACGCGCGGCCGTAAATCACCGGGCGAACGAGTCGGATTCGTGTGCACGGGACACGCGGCGGTGGTACGTGCTGCTGCGATCTGACCGCGTGCTGGACGTCGTCTCCTGGTCGCTAGCTCGCTTCCTCGCGGGGCCTCAACGGAACGCGCTTCGGCCCCTCTAGGGGACCAGACCCCAGGTGGAATTTTCGTGCTGTGGCCACAGCGATTGTCATCGCGGGACAACAACTGTCCAGGTTGGAGGGGAAGGGGGGAATAATGAAAATCCTGGCAGGTACCGAAAACTGGTACAGCCTGGACCCAAAGGCGAGATGATACCCGCGCGAAGGAAGAGTCGATAAGTCACCCAAAGCGGCACGCTGGCTTCCTTCGTTTCGCGGTTACGGCTACTCGGTAGGACGTCGGTGCTAAATTGGCCACGTTACGCGGACAGCTCGTCGTGCAATATAATTAGAAGGAACGGGACACGATAGCTCGGAGCAACTCTTTCTGGTAGGCGGACGAGGCTGTTGGACACGAGGAAGCTGATTTACTCGGGCCTTTGTGAGGTTGGCTGGAATTAAGACTGGGTACTATATGTTTAAATGGCCAGGTCGCTTGGCCAACGTCGGAATATTCTTCAATGGATTCCCGTGCACGTACGGGGATCGGAGAGTTTCTGCCTTTGAAGAATTTACTTCGACGGAGGACAGCGAACGGTTGAGTTACCGAGAGTCTAGGCTTTGTTGAACTGAGGACGATTAACGGGGATTTTGACTTGTAACTGTACGGTACTGATGGACATTGTTGAGATTTTGAAAGATGAAAGGGAATTATTTTAGAAGTTGCATGTTATATGATTTTCTGGGTAAACTGTGACAGTGAGACTGGTTCAGTGTAGCTTCTGGGAATGATGAATTGCAGGAGCATTCTGGTTTCTATTTTGAAAGCTTCGAGTAGCGGTACGTCTACGTCTGGTTGCTGATTTCGATGAATATTGAACGAATATCATTATTTCACGCGCCACGAAATCATCAATTAAATGCTGAATTGAAATGTTTTCGCGCTATTAATTTTACAAGTTAAGGGGTTCAGTAACATTACACGTTACTTGAAATATAGTCTGCGATACATTCCTGTTGTTAAGCGAAGATTAGGTTGCTTTACGGTCCAAAAACTTCTATACGAATTTAGTCGGATTATTTACAAACCAAAGTTTTCTAATTGTACAGTAATACTAATTTCATCGTGTATTCTAACACGGAGAGCGCTCAAGATTTTACACCTACTTTATGTTCATACAACCATGCGAACAATGTTTTAAATTCTTTAAGTAGTATTAGACTTCCAGTTCGCGTATTATTAGCACTAGAATGAAAAATATAGAGTCCACAAGAGATGAACGTGCGAACGCTACGAATACATTAAGAATACCTTGCACACAGAAGAAGGTCGACATAGTTTTAATAAGCTGAACGAAACTGTATGAAACTTCTGTATTTACATATCGTAAAAATCGCTGAAGAAAATCTACTGGACCAAATAATCATTCCAATCTACCAACCACAACTGCCTAAAAGATCAAGTACGTGTAGATGTTTCCATTGAACGCTAAAAAATACAAGATTTCTGCAAAAATTCTAACAAAATCAAGGTCGTCATTTCTTAACAAAATCGCAGCTTCGAAGCTTCGATTTGTCGCACCAACTATCCCGTTCAATTCTCTCGTATCTCATAGGCCTTAATCAAGCTTACTTCATTTAGTATTTTACCAGAAAGTTCTGCCACCAGTTAAAAACTTAAATAACATCCCCCATATGTTGGTGACACAGCAGTCCAAATAGTCAAAGATTGCACGGAATGCTCACCTATATTAGCAGTCATGGCCTCAAGATCCTTGGGCTTCCTCTTCCTCGGCCTGCCCTTCTGTCTAGGTGGCGGTACGACCGCGGCGCCGTTGAAGTACGGCACTTTAGGTGGCGAGCCGACGTCAGGCACGGATGGCGTCGAGGGTTGAAGCGGTACGGGACTGACGTGACTGTGGGGATGCTGAGGATGCATCGAGTGATGAGGATGCGGCGGATGGGACGGATGATGGTGGTGATGGTGAAGGAATTCCGGAGAGGGAAAGGGTTGACCGGGGTAATGAGGACCAGGAGGGTAAACCGGAACCGGTGGGCTCTGAGAAGGATGCATTTCCGCGCCCATTTCGTAGTGGAGCCGACAGAGCACCGCGCCGTCACGCATCCCAAAATGATCGCCCTTGGTCAGGGGGACAGCGCAGGCTGCGCAGGAAAAACAACGAACGTGGAAAACTAGGTCCCTGGCGCGCATCACCAACTCGGAGGCTAGGATCGCCGCCTGACACCGGGCGCAACGTTTCATGCTGCCGAACATCCTGGAAAAAGAAAGAATTCGAGGGTTAATATCGCAGAACTTGGATAGGCCCAGGTGTTGATTGAGGTCAAAGTGGGGGTGAAGCAGAGGGTCCAAGTCAGTGGATAGAGAGTAGTGTCACCTAGAAAAGAGCTAGGTTGCTATATACTTGTTCATTGTTATTATCTCGGTCTTTTGTGATAAATTCACGGGTAGTAGAAAGATATTCGCTTTGAGGCCAGTTCCAGTTGTTGGAAGTCCATAATGTAGCTTACGGTTAAGGTACTGTTGGCGATCTGTTTAACCATCGCTCACCTAATGTCAGGTTATTTTGATTCGCCTTTTACGACAATATTAACGGATTTTAACAGAGTAAGACAAGTCAATCACTTCTGGAAAGAATAGAGCGCGGAGACAGCTATGCTTGTTTGTGAAACGTATATGAATTTGGAAAGGAAGAATCGTCGACTGCCCAGATAGTTCAGTGCTAAAAGCACTCATCCGTGTAATGAAGGAGTTTATTCGATTCCTGGCTCAATACCCAATCGGTCGATTTTTCTTCTCCAACACTCTATCTTTCTTAACATCATTTCTAAAAAGCATTTTGAAAATATAATACGTTCAAAACTGTAAAACCTTACGTTGTTGCGAATACATATATCAGAACATATATTAAAGGTCAAAATGTGCTGCTCGAGCAATCGACCACAAAGGTGTAACACTTTCATGGCACTTATGTACCCTTATAGACTACAAGTATGTCCGGAGTATTTACAAAATTTATTTTTTAAACAATGTCTTCCAGTATTATGTGAAAGAATTATGTACAAAGACCTACACAATTTTTGTACATGGGGTAGGACATGGAGCCAAATTTTCTTACAATTAAGATGCATAGCTTTCTGATAACTTGATGGTTATATTTTCCTGCACAGATTGCAGTGGTTTGTTTTAATAAATAACCAACCGGGTGGATGGCCTTTTTTTGGTAGTCCTTGTGGAGTGCACGAGTCTAATATAAAATTTCGATTCTTCAAAACGATCCAATTCATTCACGATTCAGCATCAGCAACACCGAGGAACGACGGGATCGAACCGCCTTGAAAGCCCGGCAGCCCGTTTAGCGAAATGCTCGTTCTCTCGATGGGCATATTTTTCGAGTCGTGGTCGGCCAATTAACCGGAGGAGAGCATGAAGTCGAGCAAAGACAGTTCGCCGCACAGCGTCCGCCGACACACGGCGGAGAGGATTCGAAGGGAGCGGGTATCCCAGGGGCGGGGCGGCATAACAAAAATAACCAAGAAATTATCGTAACTGCGGGACGGCAGGCGGCGCCCATTTTTCCATTCACTTTAAACGATACAAACACATCGACGCCGGCGAATGTTTCCCATCGTCTCTGGATATCTGCCGTGTTTCCCCCCTTTAAGATAGGGTTCCCGTTGAATCGAGAGAAAAAAGGAAGACGACTCTCTCCGCGAAGATAAAGTACGACGGACAGAGAGAGAAGGAGAAAGAGAAAGATCTCTCCCAGTTGGACACACGAGAAGCGGCGGCGGGACCACGTAGAGGGCCGAACGGTTGATATCGCGAAGGTAAGAAGGGACACGCATGTGTATAACCTCGGTGGAGGAAGGCGAAAGGCCGGAAAGGGAAGGAATATACCGATGCAACCGGGCACCGTGACATCGCTACTGCATTAGCGGCACCCTGCAGTCTCCATTACCGAAGCCGGTCTCTCTCGACTATCTACCCGACATCCACCAGGGCTACCTACCTAAACCACCTATCTCACTCTCCCCCTCCAGCTCCCAAATATATTACGTTCCCTCGGCAGCCGTACTAAAGAACCTAGATAGAGACGTGGCCGATCTTATAACCCTGATGCCGCGTCGGATCCAGTCCCGGGGCGAGCCGGTGTGCCACATATTTATACGACGATCACCTTACCAGCGGGGCGATCGCTGCGACACGCACACGATGTTTTTAGGGCGAACTGCTTTCGGTCGCGCTACCATTTCGGTTACACGAGCTTAGGACAGAGATTTTAAGAGAATTAATGTCTTAGACGTGATTCGAAGTGATGGAAACTTATATTGGGACTTATTGGGGAATCTTTTGATTGTCGTAGCTACCAGGATGCCATTTTGGAAAAGACGGTACCAACTTTTGTTAGGAACTTGTGTCGAATTAAAGGTATTACTATTCGATTCTGATGAGTAGGAGATTAGATTGCATATTGGCTGGAGATGACAACAGCTTAGGTCAAAGCTCGAAGGGGAATTAATATTGGGGAAGTTACTTTGGATCTCAGCTTTTGGTTGTGCTACCAACGAGGACGGCATTTTGGACAAGACAGTGCCAACTTTTGTTAGGAACTTGTGTCGAATTGAAGGTATTATTATTCGATTCTGATGAGTGGGAGATTAGATTGCATATTGGCTGGAGATGACAACAGCTTAGGTCAAAGCTCGAAGGGGAATTAATATTGGGGAAGTTACTTTGGATCTCGACTTTTGGTTGTGCTACCAACGAGGACGGCATTCTAGATGAAACAGTGCCAAGTTCTCTTGATCATCGCTGGAAACGCTTTTATTTGAGTACCGAATTAAAAGTAATATTACTCGATTGTACTGAGTGGAAACAGGTTTTGCACTGAAGTATATGTTAATGTTCAGTGGGAGTGGATTAGATTACCCATTGATTGGAGACTGTACCGAGTGTACGTCATTTTGAATTTCAAAACTATAAGTTATGAACTATGTATTATTTATCAAGGCAAATATAGATTATCAGGTTAAGAATAGTGGTTAACGTTATCTTTAGGTGGGAAAGAATGAGGATTATGTTACCTACAGTTTGATCATCGCTTGTAGAACACGCCATCATGGATAAAACGTTACTCCAGTAAGTTTTACATTCAATTAACTTCAGAACAGTAAATTGACAGTGCAGAATCTTGAAAAAAAATTATTCTGCATGGTTTCAAACGACGAAGCAGTTGGAATTGACTTTAGGATTCCTGGCACAGATTCAATCGGGACAAAGTTTTCCTGAATAGGGAAAGTATCGGAGGCCATAGCGGAGAAGCGTTTTTCCGGAAAGATCCCTGTAAATCATGTCACTCGGTATCGCAATACAATGATTTTTACCAGAGATCACAGATATCGACGGAGTGAATGGGGTAATGCGGGAAAACAAAAGGAGGATATGGCCACGCGGAATCGTGCACGCACCGTGGAGCAACGATCTCAGCAATTGGAAAACGAGAAAATGGAGAATAATGATCAGATACCGCGAAACGGAAAAGCAGAATGCCCCGTAGCATAACGAGTCTCTCGTTGTATCAGGATCGAATAACGAATCTATTCGCTAGGCACACTAGAATCTCGATATCGAAATACAATCGAAACGAGACAGCATATTCACTCGTCACTGAACACAAAACAGGATAAAAAAAACATGGAACCTATTCAATTCCATGTTATCTTAATTAACGTTGAAATTTTTCCAAATTTCCAAATCCATAAATTCTTCAACATCTTACCAACGATAACCACTCCTCTTATTTTGCCTTTGACCGACGTGATCCGATCGAATTAAAAATGGATTCCTGTCAGCCGTCGAGGCACCATTCAAGTGTCCATAGGAGTTACCGTCAAGCCGTGTCAACACCTCTTCACAGAGGCACAAACGAAACAACCTGAGCGCGTCTAGTCGCGTAAGCTCAGTCATCCAGCTCTCCTGGTTCCAATGGGTTTCACAGGCGATTTCCAAACGCGAAACGGAGAAGAGAGTCCGGTCAACTCGGAAGGGATTCTGACCTAGGTCTCCGTAAAACCTTAAACCTAATCGAATGGATTAGCCACGACGAGTCTCGGAGCTCTGTCGAGGGTCTCTTGACTCGAGACACATTGTTATCGTGCCTGATCCTATTGACAGCCCCCAATCCTGGTACACATCCGGCACGGACAATAGCAACGACGGCTAAGGCCTGGTTTGCGCACAGCAGGACAAGACCGCATATTTTCACCTAATCGGATCCGTTGGACCGTGTTGGGTAATCGATTGGGCCCTCCATTCTGAATTCGTACAACAGCGGATTCACCTTCGGCCCGGTATAGAGACGCTCCCGGAAGGTGTTCCACCGGGGGCAAACTCTTTTGTTAGCCTTTGTTCGATGCATTCTGCTGCTGTACTCTTAATTTATTAGCGGTGGGATTATTCGGGTTAGATCGTGAGAGGGGCCTTTCTTGTTGGTGAAAAATATTGGGGATGACATCCTTGACAGTTTCGTGAGATGATAGGTAAGGTTGATCGCTGGTTCAACCTGTTCCAGTTTAACGGTAATAAAATATACCTTGTATAACTCTTGCAACTATACAAGCTCATTTTGTGTTCAACTAATGTCTACAGGTCTATATTTATTTTTGCTGAATCCAGTAAATGGACACCAACAAAATACGAATTTCAATCTTCGTAGAATTTAAGTCTTTTATATTCTACCATACTCATTTCTCTAGTCACTATGACCACTAAAACCCAACATCACGAGCTATCAATCTCCACACCTATGCATTCAACCTACTAGATCCTCTAAAAACTAGTCACTACTATGTCCTCGAAATGACACACAATCCAGCGACACGTCCCCAGCAAGCTTGCCGTACCTTCTTCAAACCATCCACCTGATTTCAACAACATACCCTGGCCCACATTCGATCAAAACCCAACATCACCAGATATCAATCTCCACATATACCCATTGAAACCCTCCAAACTTTACACACATCGAACCTCTACACATCAAACAGCCCGCAAACTGTTCCCGCTTCATTAACCCATCACAGCTCCATCCTCTAATCGCATCGCAGGTCCGAACACCTCGCCAAAGCATATTGCTGCCACAAAGGGGGAGAGCCCCCGAGAGTCTCCATTGGAGTAGGGAGCTGGCCAGAAAAAAATCTCGAAAGAGGACCAGAGGAGAGGCTAGGGGCCGACGATGTTTCGGTTCCTGGTCGA